TATTTAAACAGTTAATTTATAAAACCTTAGTCTCCCGTCATAGATTCAACATCTGTCAAAAAGAACAACCGGTGACGACCATTCATCGTCGAAAAACTGATTTCCTTTAACAAACACTACTATCGGGGAGCTATTTGTTTATAAAAAAGCATCAATTCTATGGTTAAGATTGATTAAAGATTAATAATGTGGCGTCGTTAATATTTAAATTCATTGAGTTGATTAAGTGGTTAAAGAGAGTATTGTCATCTCTCAATACCCTAAATTCAAGCAATTGTGTTTATATAGTTTTTGTTAATATTTATATTCATTCTCAATGATTAAAAAAGATTATGGATATACTAGCTTGTAATCACCATAACTAATTAACAAAACATTAATGATAAATTCTTTTTAGCAAATATTCAATTGGTCTAATAGGATGAGATATTGAATTCTTTTAAGTATGATTTTTTTTATAGAAAGCTACTAGTTTTATTAAAAATAGAAAATATACAAAATTGTAATGAAGATTTACAAGCATATCCGTAAACATAAACTAAATTATAAAATTATAATTAAGATATTTCCCTATAACTATTGACACAAAAATTAGCCACCTAAATCACACAAGGACCAAAGAATGAAAAGGTTAAAAAACCTAACCAAAATGCTCAAATAAAACAGAGATACGAATGAATCTGGTTGTAACGGGAAACGAACCACAAAAGAGGGTGAAACTATTGAAAGATCATCGACAAATCACAAATCAAAGTCAAGCAGAGTGAGAAATCTATCTACGAACACAAAACGTGCATCCAAATCAATCCAAGGGTCCAAAGCTGAGAAGGTCAACATGGTAACAAATAAGTGTCATCTTAATCAATTGTGGCGATGTCAAATTCAACCTTGAGAAAAAAGATAAACAAAAATAATGGTCAAACAAACGAAAACTACCAAAAGGTAGAAAAATATGCCACAAAGCCATAGATAAATATGCCACAAATGCAGAGATAAACATGTTACTAAGACATAATTATTCTTATTAAACAACTAAAAATGCAAAGAGAAAAGACAATCGACAATCAACAATCAACATCAAAACCAGTGTTGTTTTCGGCTAAACAAAATCAAAGAAGAAAAAGTTGATTTGATCTATAAAAAATGACACAAATTATAAAGAAAAAAGAGGAGAGGGGGAGGGAGAGAGTGGCTAGGGTTAGAAAGTTTTAAGATTTGAACTTAAATTCATGTTTTATACCATTTAAGTAATGTTAAGTGTTTGAATTTTGACTTTTATGAATGAAATAAATTAGATTAAGATGGTCAGTGCCATATTAAACCTCTATACTATTTGTAATGTTTGATCTGTGTAACACCATTAAGCCGCATTCGTACACAAATACAAGTTAAGGATGTCACATTGTTTCTATATAACATTTCTTAATTTGAAGCTGATGAAATTTTTTCTTCTTTTAAAATTTCCATATTTAACTTTTATTATTAAATTGTTTAATCACATAAATTCATAATGAAATATTTAATTTCTAATTCACATTTGGTTTTCTGTAGCGATTAGGTAGGTCTATATTATTTCATATCATAATTAAAATTGTCTAATTTAAAAATCAACCGATTAATCTTTATAACAAATTAATCTCTTTGATACTGCTTTTGAAGGGATCTGAGGATGCATAAATTGGTATTTGAGGAAGATGGGTTGCCAGATGGAACTGAACTGGGGTATTTTGTTCGAGGACAGATTAGTGTGAAATGTGAATATGCTTGAATGTAAAAAATATCCATTTCAACTATGCCTACTAAGTGCTTATTTGACGTGTTGCATAAATTGCTTGTCGGTTATAAAAGGGTATTTGGAATATTATGCACTTGCTGCAATTCAGAGGTACCTTTTTTTTTTCTTTCCGCAATGCATTTGTTGCATCTTAAATTCTCTGATTATTTTGTTTGAAATGTGCAGATAAGCCCTTCACAGTTTGAATCTCATGCTGGTTTTGCAAGTCGTCGCAAGCCGTAAGTTTCTGCTTGGACTTGGTTGTCAAAGCCTTGTTATTTTTTGTCATATTTTGTCGTATAATTGATATAATGACATGGTGCATTTAGTGTATGTATCTACAAACATAGTGTTCTTTTGACATTTCCTTTGTTTACAGATTTCAAAATATTTACACATCAAATGGGGTATCCCTCCATGAATTGTCGATATCCCTATCAAAAAATCAGAAGTTCTCTACATGTGAGAATGATGATCTATGCAGCATATGTTTGGATGGAGGGGGTCTATTGTGTTGTGATACATGTCCGAGGGCTTTTCACTTGGGTTAGTTTTCCTTGAGTGTTCTCTTCATCGGTAACTTTTCAGGATTCACTTATTTGTATGACAATTGATGTGCTGGATGCATTTTAGCAATGACAGTAAAGAAAGTAACTCTCTTCTTATGAACTTCTAAACGACGTGAAATTATAACTAGTCTTATATATAATCTTTTGCCTCAAGTTGATAACTTTGACTTCTGCTCTTGGTTGACTGTAATGCATTTCTTAACTGAAGGTTCTAGTGAAGACAAACTTGTTTTCTAATGTCATCTCCCATTTGTATAAACATCTGTGTGGTTAATGATATTCCAAAGGGAAATTGAATATTTGTGGATCCAATAATTCTGAGGAGTGATTTATGTGTGCACATAACTTGCTTTTGATTTCAGGACTTTTCCCCCTTACCCTATCACCTTTACTTGCACCTGAACTTAATTAGGAGAGTTGAGTTAGTTACCGTCTTGTACCCATTTTGGAACTTACTTTTACATAGTTATAATTTCCTTATGCTTGGGTCATTCAGACCGTGGTATGTGAATTTTACAACATTGTTCATTACACATTTCGTATTTTAAACCAATGGAATTTTGGAAGTGAAGTTTTCTTGTTTTCTCCATTCAAACGGATTGGAAATATCTGTCACTTTTTGCTTGTTCGATATCAGTACAAATCAATATTTGTACAATCAACTTACAACAAGAAAAGATCGGTTTAATCTATACCCCAAGAGTTACAAAGGAAAGAGTTAATATTATCATTCCTATTTATAGCTTTTCCCCTTAATTTGATTGCAACATCTTCTTTGATGCAAACGAAGAGATCTTCAACAGTTCTTGTTCGGTTTTGAAAAATTCTTCGGTTGTGTTCCTCCCATAGAACATAGATTGTAGCACACCAAGCTATTTTTAAAATTGTTACGATGAGAGACTTGCCTTTCCAGGTGTTAGTAGCCCAATTAATCATGTCTTCCCAAGCAGAAACAGATTTCTTTATCCCATTATGTGAAAGAATTGCTTCCCATAGATAAGAAGCAGTTGAACAATCAAAGAACAAATGGGAGCGAGTTTCCATTGATGAGTTACAAAGAGAGCAGTCCCCGGATGTAGTAATCCCCATTCGTTAAAGTCATTCTCGAGTAGGAAGACGATCGAGGAGAGCCATCCAAGCAATAATGTTATGCTTCGGAATATGAAGTGGGAACCAAATCGAGGATTGCCAAGAAGCTTTTCCACCATTAATTCTGATTTCTTGCTAGATTTCCCTTATGGTAAATGTGCTGTTTGAAATGGCAGGAAGAGCTTCATCACGTAACTTGAGCAATCTATTAAAACTCCAACTGAATTTCGAATCTCCCTCAATATGCCAGAAATTACACTCCTTTAAAACATTGTTGTTGATCCAAGCAACCCATAATGAGCCTTCTCCAGCAAGAATGCTTTTGATAAGTTTGATCATGCAAGCTCGGTTCCAGCATTTAAGGTTTTTGAGGCCCAGACCACCCTCGGATTTAAGTTGGCAGATTTTGTCCCAACTGACTCTCGCACCAGTAGCTGCTGAATCAGTTCCTTTCCAGAAGAAACGGTAGCATAACTGGTCAATTTTGTTGATAACAGCTTGGGGCAAAAGAAGTTGTCTGCACCAATAGTTTGCTACGCTAAACAGGACAACTCTAATGAGCTCGAGTCTGCCAGCAAAACTTAGATGTTTTCCAGACCAGAGGTTAAGTCTGGATTTGATGCTCTCAATAAGATTCTCGCAGTCTTTCACTGTGAGTTTTCTGGTAATAAGAGAAATTCCAAGATAACGAACAGGCAAGCATCCGAGATTAAAACCAGTAAAGTGTTTGATGGTGTTGACAGTTCTAGTTGAAGTACCAGCAGTAAAGAAAACACACTTTGAAGCATTGAGATTCAAACCAGAAAATTCATAGAATTTTTCAAGAACAGAGGTAACACCTGCAACTGACTCCACGTTTCCTTTACAGAATATCAGTAAATCATCAGCAAATGATAGATGTGTAAGACCTATTTGTTTTCATTTAGGATGATATTGAACAATCCTCTAGCAGCAGATAAATTGAGCAGGCTTGAAAGCACATTCAAAGAAATAACAAAAAGAATAGGTGATAGTGGGTCACCTTGTCTAATTCCTCTTGCTCTTTTTACTGGCTGACTGCATAGTGTATATCCCTACCACACATTCCAACTGGTACTTGGCACTGTAGGTATTGCCAGAATACCTTCGAAAAGGAAAAGTTTGTGCAACATAATGCCAACGCTGTTGCTGCAGGAAGAGTTGTGGAATTGATTCAATAGAACAGATAAACAAGACAAGTATTCGTATTATCAAAACTCCAGAGGCAGAAGTTCCCAGTGTGTGTGTGCTATGCAGGTTGGGATGCTTATGTTGCTTTGAATTAATCTTCATCCTCTAAACTCCCTCCTCTTCCACTTACCTTAAATAGTGTCAAGTCTTATTGTAACATTAATGTCTGAAAATATATCCAATTACCCAGGTTAAAGTGGTGAACATGTTTAAATCTAACATTATGATCTAGAGTTGAAATATTCTAGACAACTGAAATCTCTGATTTGATTTATTCAGAATCTGTATCAGTGAGAAACTCTTACATCCAAAAACGTGTTATTTATTTGCAAATTTGTTCTTTATTTGCAAATTGACAAATGTCCGATCTCATCATTCTGTGTGCTGCACTCATGTTGAGGCTTGATTATTTATCCCCCCCCTTTTTTTCCTCTCTCTCTCTCTTTCTCTCGCTTCTTTGAACTTTTTTTTCTATCGTTAGCATGTTGTTGATATTTGCAGAGGTCATGCTTCTAGCAAGTCAGGGTTTGGTCCCCGTACTGTTATACTATGTGATCAGGTATCTTTTTGGTTCTGTTTCTGCTTAGGTTGTCTCCTGTAATTGACACTGAATGATCTGTGTTTATTTTCTTTCAGTGTGAGAGAGAGTATCATGTGGGTTGTCTGAGGGATCATAACATGGATGATCTTAAGGTGCCCATTTTTTCTTCTGTTATAAGTATCGCATAGTTTTTCTATTTCCCTCTGTTTATGAATAGTGACACCACGTTCTTATCAGGAGTTACTAAAAGGAAATCGGTTTTGTTGTGCGGACTGCGATAGAATTCATACTGCTTTACAGAAATTGATAGTTCGTGGAGAAGAGAAGCTTCCCGATTCATCTCTGCATGTTGTGAGGAAGAAGCATGCAGAAAGTAGTTTAGAGAGCAAGGACAAACTTGATGTAAGATGGAGGGTTCTTAGTGGGGAAAAACCTTCTGATGACAACTGTCACAATCTTCCATGTATATTATTTCCTGACTAAACCTCTAACAAATTCATTGCTGATCTTTCATAGTATGTAACATTATCTAACTAGATGAATGGCCAGCTATTTAAAGGCTGTATGGCCGTCATGTAAGCTTTAAGTCTTGTAGTTGCCTTGGTGCGCTTAATGCACGAGGCATCTTCTTTGTAGTTTGTGTTGATTTTGGTCTTTGATGTGAACCTAAGGCTGTAGGACTAAAATACTAATCCATGTACGATGTTACTTTTGTGGTTTATTAGGAGCGCTTTGATCCTATAAGTGACTCCGGATCGAGTAAAGGGGATCTCATCCCATCAATGGTTTATGGGTAAGCAATACACATCATTTATGCGTATCTTTGTGATGCATGATGATTATGCAGTGTGAATAATATCATTAATGCTTTGTTTGATATGAGTGCTATTATTATTGAATAAGTTAAGTACTCTAGTTAGTAATAAACTGATTTTATCTACTAGTTTTTAGCCACTAATGACTTGATTTGAACAAAGAGGGAGGAAAGATATAAAAATTGCAGGGTTATTTCCACTGCCTTTTCGATTGCATCGAGAAGCTGCTCGGGTTCCTAAAAGTGAAAATGCTCTGCAGCTGATGAGGCGGAATCCACTTGGACAAAGAAATTCAGATTTGGCAAGATAACCCAGGAAGAGGTAATATAAGCATTTCCTACCCGTTCCTCTTGAATGTTGAAACCAAACGAATGAGGTCTGTTATGCGGATGAATTGTATCGTAACGTTGTATGTAATATTGCAACAGCAAAACAAGTATACGAGGGACTACCAAATGATGATCTTCCAGGGTACATCGGTACTTCAGAAGCCAGTGCCGGATATTCGATTGATTGGTAAATCACAAGATGAATGACACTTTCAAGTGTTATTGTTACATTTGAATGTTGCTGAAAGTGGGGAGTCGGCAGCAAGTTTTTCCTCCTAAGAATGTACAGTGAAGGTTTTCTTTTAAATACCTTTCTTTTTGGTACATGAAGAAGATGGAAAGTCAACTGAATACATTCTCTCTCTGGGTTTGCATCACTGAAATGAGGGCGAGAGGGAAAGTCAGTTGACCAAAGATATAGGGAAATTAGGGGCGGAAGTGAAGTATCTAATTCATTTATTTATTTATTTATTTATTGTCAATTGTTGTTTGCATTCTTTCTAGAATTGAGGAAGACGATTTTTGAGATTTTAAGAATTAAAATAATGAAGTATAAATTATATAGTTAATTTTTTAAAAAATTAAATAAAAAACAAAAGAATTTAAGGAGAATTGTAATAATTTTATTAATTGTTATATTATATTATGTTGAGTTTTTAATAACTTAAAACTATTTTTTTAGAAAATAACTATTTTGATTTTTGAAGATGTAAAAATAAAGTATGAAAAAATATAATTAACACGGTTTTCAATTGTACGTTACAACTCATGTCATAAATACCTTAAAAATCACCTCGTAAATATATGAAATAGTTTCCAAGGAAGCAAAGTTCGTAAGTAATTGATCCAATGGATGTATTGTTTGGGCACACTTAAGAAGCGTTTAATTCACACAATGTATTAGAATAAAATTATTTTGAGAATGTTATATTACCTTTCTTGACATATTTAATATGAATATCAAATTACATTAATTTGGATGTATGAATATAAAATTATTTGAATATATAGTTTATCAAATTATTCTTGTGTACGAATCAAGTGACCTCCGTAGTAAAGGAGTTATTATTTCTTGAAGAACTAAGTTTGAGCATCATAGATATTAGGGTTGTAATTGTGTTTAGTGTCGAAAGGTTTAGGGTTTTCTTTAAATAGATATTGTGTACTTACCCCAAATTAATAAAAAAAATCAAATTATACTTGTGATATATATTCTTTGCAATAAATTAAACTTAAATATTAAATTAAAAATATTTTAATAAAAATTCGCATAAATATTATAATCATTAGATTATCTTAGTTTTAAGAAATAATGTATTTAACATATAATTAATATGTTAAATTTTTTTTTTTAAATAATTTAAAAATATATAAATAACATAATGGTTCAATACATGAGAATACATTTTCATTCATTTAACCAAAAAGTATTTTTATTAAAATATATTATTATTTGTTAATAATCGGTGAATAAAATTGAGAATATAATTTTAAAAAAAATATTTATTCTTTTAATAATAATTTTTTCCACGAACAAAATAATTTCTCTTAATAAAAATTTATCCTAAAAAATGCTTCATTAATATTCATCTACACCTAGCAACTCAATGGTATAAGAAGTTAATATTTGATCAACTTTATTTCTACTTTCAATTTAAACATTAGAAAATAATTTCTTTTGTCACCCTCCTAATTTTTTAGGATTTTGTCTTCATTCATTTTAATATCTTATACTTATTTTAATAGATAAGAGAATCTTCTGTATATATATAAATTTTTTAAATGATGTCATATTATTTATCGCTTCAATCAATTCATTAATAAAATTAAAAAGGGTTTTAGGGTATTATAGGGATTTGCAATTTCTAGAGATTTTTCCCTTAAACCTTCGTTTTAACAAATTATTTTGGCATCCATCTAATCCATTTTATTTTCAATTTTAACAAACAGAAAAGGAACTGAATCAATCTCCTACTCATCAATGTCAACTCCCTCTCCTCCCACCACCACCGCCACTCCAAACGGCCGATCCTTTCGAGTTTTCAGCGAATCCGACGAAATCCAGATCCTCAAATGCTTAATCAGAGCCACCAAATCCATTTCTCCGCCAATCACCACCGTGGGTACCCCAACAATCAACCGCATCATTAAGCTTCTCAACCACAAGTTCTCCCCTTCCCAAATCAACGACAAGCTCAGTAGACTTCGAGACAAGTACCACAAGCATGCAAGAAACAAGTCTCTGGTAAGAACCCACCACGGCCGAAGATATTCAAGCTTTCCAAAAGAATCTGGGGTAAGAAGACGATACCCAGAAAGAAGAATGATGAAACGGGAAGTGAAAAGGAAGATGGGGTTGGGAATTTGGCGAATTTCCCTTACTTGGTGACTGAGTTTTCGAGGGTTTTGCCTGGAAATGAGGTTTGGAAAGAGAAGATGGTGGGATTGGGAGAGGATAAGTTGAGGAAGATGGATCAAGAATGGGTTTTTCTTAAGGTTGAAGAAGCTAAATTGGTGGCTAGGAAAGCTGAGTTAATACAACAGCAGATTATGGAGGTAATGGGGGAAACTGGGTCTGCAAATGGGGTTTAGTTAGTTGCTTACTGAAGATGAAAATAAGTTTTGATTCTCATACTGGTTCTTTCTTAGTCGAATAGAAGAAGAAAGGGGTTTAGGGCTCAGAATTTTTTCTTCATATATTATAATATTAGTTAAAGTGTCAGTCGACAAGAAGTCCATTATACTCTCAAAAATGGCGATGAACAATCCAGGTAAGTGGTTAACGAGCTATGTAAGTTTTTTTTTTTTTTTTTGTTAACATGGGAAGTTATGCGGTGCGACGTTTAAAAAACAATAACGTATTAGATACCGTTTATATAATATAATAGGTACCGTTTATATAATATAATAAGTTAATTACAGAAAATATTATCAAACACAATAACATATTAGGTACAATTTATATAATGTAATAGATAACGTTTATATAATAAAATAAGTTAATTATTAGAAACATTATTAAACACAATAACATATTAGGTAGCGTTTATATAACGTAATATGTAGTGTTTATATAATAAAATATGTTAATTATTTAATTTGTTATTACAATATATTATGTAAACGCCTAAAATATTATCAAGGATAACATAATCGGTTATTTACTAGAAATATTATCAAGTATAATAATGTAAATGGTAAAAAAAATAGGTTCTACTTATTACATTAAACTACCTACCAGATATGTTGAAAGTGTCGATTCCATTTAAATAAGTATCGATATTTTTGGAATTTAAAAGAAAAAGAGTAATAACGCCTATAAAGTATCGATACTTTATAAAAATATATCGATACTTTACAATATAACAGGTAAAAAATAACAAAACCAATTTCATTATGACAAAGCAGATAAAATTTACTGGATATATTGAAATGCTTAAAAATGTTTCTAGTAATTAACTTATTTTATTACATAAGCGCTACTTATTACATTATATAAGCGTTACCTATTATATTATATAAGCGGTATCTAATATGTTATTGTGCTTGATAATGTTTCTAGTAATTAACCTATTTTATTATATAAGCACTACTACCTATTACATTATATAAGTGCTACCTATTACATCATATTTTTACCTGTTATAACAGTTTCATTATAATAAAATCGATACTTTACAATATAACAGGTAAAAATATGACAAAATCAGTTTCATTATAATAAAACCGATAAAATTTACCTGATATGTTGAAAGTATAAATACTTTTTATAAAAATGTATCGATACTTTGTTGAAAGTTGTGTAATTTATGTTTAAAAAAATTTTAATAGTGTTTTATGTTTTCCACCTACAATATTAATTTAATAATTTCATTTACGCAAAAAATTATTTGATTGTTTTGATATTTTATAAAATATTATTTAGAATTTAAATTTAACAATTTTAACCAAAGATAATAATAAATATGTAATATTTATGTTTATTATTTTTAATTTAATAATAATATATACCGTAACATAAAAATAAATCATTAGACATGTATAATTACTAAATTAATATCTTAAAACTCATTAAAAATAACCTTAAATTAATGTTTTTCACAGTGAAATAAGTATGGACACATATATATATATATATATATATATATATATATATATATATATATCGATACTTACCGATAACCAAAGTTTACCGGTTACCAATTTTTTTAATAGTTTTTCATGTTTTCTACCTAAAACATTATTAGTCTATCAACATAATAGGTAGCGCTAAACCAAATTTATTAAATATCTTTTAATATATCCGATAATACTGTATATTAGCTGTATATTAGTCGTCTTTCCTGAGACAATCCCATATTAACATGAGTGATCAATTTATCACAAATAATATTAGTGACCAATTTAATAGTTTTGAAACTTCAGTGATGAAAACAAAAATTTATTCAGACATTAGTAACCATTTGTGTAATTAACCCTAATTTATTTTGGTTTCTTATTAGAGCCGTTTTAGATTTCCAGATTTAGAATTTTCTGCTGATGTTTTTAGGCATTTTTTTTGTGGGGCGGGGGGGGGGAATTCAATTAAACTTTAGATTGATAAATAATACGTACTCCGCAATTGAATTCAAATTTCAACACGAGAACTCATCAATAAAGTTTACAAACTTAATCAAGCACATAGAGAACTCAATAAAATTCTGGAAAACGTTTTCATACATGCCATCTAAAGCATGTTAATTTTATATCTAATGCAGAGTGCCAATGACCAGGAAGCAAAGCCTAAACACGGAATTCTCCACAATAGAGAACTACAACAGAAACACGATCCTTGATTACACCCAACTGTTTATGCAGAGAAGCTTTTTTCAATCAATTTTATTTAATACTAAAGCTGATGAAATTACTTGGCAAGAGCCTACTGCTGTTGCTGCTGATAGTTAAGAGGCCTCCTGAAAAGCATGATGTGTGGTTCAGGACGATGAATAGCATAATGAACCCATCCACGACTCTGCTGTACCCCGATTGCACGCCACTCATTCTACAAAAACAAGGATACCCAAAATCAGCATCAATACAACTTGCTTCAAGGTTTAAACCCTAATCCTTGAAAACAATTGTAAACTACTACATTGAGTAGAGATGGGCATAAAATTTTATGTTAAGGAGTAAAATTCTAAAGTTTTTAAGAGGAATTCTTTTTTTTTTAAAAAAAATTTAGGAATGGTGAATTTATAAAATTCTAAGAATAAAAACAAATTATCGATCGAAAATACAAAAAAAAATTAAAATATATGATAATTTGAAATTTTCAGAAAACAACAGACTCTCTCTCTCAGCCCATCCCTAGCTCCAAGAGTGTGTGTTGGTATATCTAATGCTTGTAATTACAAAGCACATGACATTTAACATCATAGTTTACTCATTCAAACCATACTTCAATTCTAAGCCAAGTGGTAAATATACCGCAAATCATATGACAAGCATCACAAACTAAGAAATCTGAAGCTTATAATACATGTGGGCAAGTGTAGGAAGTACTAGGCATGGTTTCCGTCAGCGCAACATTACCCACAGTATTAAAATGATTTTTTTCTTCAATATAGACAGCCAGCTATTTTCATTTCTCATCATTGATGAACAATCAAATCAGAATTATTAAAATTAAATAAAAACCCGAATTCAGTTTTTGAAACTAAGCAAAAGTGGAATTGAATAAAAGATGAACATTTCAGTAAAACCCTAAGAAACAACAAACAAACAAACATACATACTTCAGAAAGGAGGCGATTCTTCGGGAGAAGTTTGGCCACTTCAGAAGGAAGAACAACATGCCTGTACGATCACCAACATAAGAAAATTGAAAGGAAAAAAAAAAAGCAAGTACGAAATCGAAACTGATTAAAACAGAAAAAGAAATCCAGCCTAGCGTTCTGAAAATCGAACATGAGATGAGAAGCAGTAAAAAGTAAAGGAAATAGAGTATTACCTGTATTCATAAATATCATCGAAGTATTTCTCAGAGTATTGAATTTGACCCATTTTCTTCTTTCCTTCAAAAAAGAAAAAACTAATGTTCTGGCTCTGTTAGAGATCAAAGTTCGATTTCAATATTCGATGAGCCAGAAACGAAACAATTGAGAGAAAGATAAACATGCGATGATTATAACATAATACTAATGATAATACATCTAAAAAGAAAAATCTTCAACGTACCTTTAGGGGGTGTTTGGTTCAAGGATTGTGGATTCTTATGGGATGGGAATCCCACATTCCCATTCCCATGTTTAGTTGGCCCGGAATCTCATTCCCGGTAATGTTTTATTACTAATAGTAGATTTTTTGGGTATATTACCGGGAATGTCATTACCTCCCTTCCCTTATGTATTGTAACATTACCGGTGTTTTGGACTAAAATGCCCTTAAAATTTTATTTTTTTTCAAAAATATCCTTCTTCTGTCATTGAATAATAAAAATTTTACGAATGTTAAATTACAAATTTATCCTTAAATTATTTTAGATTTACAAAAAAAAATCTATAATTAAATTTTTATATAAAGTTCAAGGGTTAAAAAAAATTTACCCTTTCATTAAACCTTTTTTATATTTTTAATTTTGTAAAAAAAATTATATAAATATTATGAATTTAATTTTTTAAAGAAAATATATAAATATTTTACAATTTGTAATATTATACAAATATATAATAACGAAAATTTAGTCAAATATACATTCCAATAATCTTTTATTCCTTTAACCAAACACGTTAATCTTACATTCCTGCTAAACCAACTAAACACAAAATACAACATTCCCAGTAATCATATTCTTTGGTAATCTTTTATTCCCACTGGTAATCTTACATTCCGTGAACCAAACTCACCTTAGGGAGAGAGAAATGAAAAGTGATAAAAGATTTGATTGGGGGTCTCTGATTTATCAAAAGAAAAAGAAAATATCAAAGACGTTAAGTAAGAGAAGCAGAGAATGAGGTAAACTAGTTGTTAAGTAACAAATATAAATTAAAAAGAAATTTAAATTTCTCCCGCTCTTTTATCGAATCATTCGATTCATTTTTTTCCTTTTTCTTTTCAATTTGGTTCAGTCAAATTCAAACGACAAATTGCTTCTTCTCCAGAAAGGTAAGGTATGCCCCCTCTTTTGACCAAAGTCTTTTTTCAAGAAAGAGGATCATGCATGCTTCAGTTCGTCCCACAGAAAAAGAGAAATATCCAAAGGAATTACTTTAGGCACAAGTTTAACATGAGGGAAAACAAACTCCGTGTTCTCTGCTGGAGGCCCCAAGGATATATGTAGCAAGGTGCCCCCTGCCATTATAAAGTTCTAATTTAGTAAGATCACACATGTGCCCTTAAAGTTGCCACTCTCTGGTCTTAATCAACTTAAATGCCTTCCCCTAATTTCAGCATTTCTGCATGCCGTCTTCTTTTTTCCCTTTGAATAATCTATCGGGATTATAAGAAAATATTTGTTCTGTTAAAATTTTTTTTAAGGATTAACTACACGGATTATCACTTATGTTTGTATTTTGTCCACTTTTAGTCATTGATTTCAAAAAACATAAGATATAATCACTTTCGTCTTTATTTAATTAAGATACGGTCACTTTCGTTTTTATTTAATTAAGATGTGATCATCACGGGTTAATTGTTGTTAACAATTAACAGAATATGTGACGTGATAGTTGGTATAATCACACATTTGGTCCCTGTTATTTGTATATTCTCTCAATTTAATCGTACCTTTTATCACACCCAAATTTAGGGGCTTCGTCGTCACCTTCCGAGCAAACCCCGACCATCTATTCGCTTGCTCGGGCCACCCTTCGTCGGAAAGATTGAGAGAAATGTTCATCACTTTCTATCTTCGGTGTACGCCTCCAAATGTTGATGATCGACAACGCCAGAACCAGTCGACACATCATCTCAGCCTAATCAAATCTTGATCGGCCACGCCCCGTGAGCCCATATCGTTGACGTGAAAACTCGTTGAAAGCTGCAACAGAAAAAAACCCATCGTCGTTGTACTATTTTTAACGATTCCGACCAAACCATCAACCGTCGCACCTCACCGTCATCTCCATTGCATTCGCTGGCGTCGTGCGACCAAAACCCAGTGAGGATCGTCTCCTCTCCATCGTGCCGTCGTCGTTCACCGTTGGGGGTAAGTCTTGCGCACTTTCCGGCCGATTCATGTTGGTTTTGGTTGGTTTTTTGCTTGAATTGAGTTTAAATCGTGGAAAATGGTATTTTGGAGTGATCAGCCGGTGAAAACATCCTTTATCGCCATCGTACGCATTGGTAGTGCGCGTGAGATTCGACGACCGGTTCAGGAAGTTTCTGGAATCGGTTCAGCCGAATCGAACCAGTCCAGTCAAACCAGTCTAAATCAGGTCTGTCGACCTGAACCGAGTCAACCTGACCTGTTGATTTTGACCTGGCCGGTTGACCATTGATCGATCTGACCGTTGACTTTGACCAGTTTAACTGTTGGTCATTGACTTTGATCGGTTTGACCTTTGACCAAAAAGTCAATTTTTTTGAAAAGTCATATTTTATGTTTTTCTACGTCTTGAGTCCGAATCCAAAGTCCATTTTTCCAAATTCACACCAGGTAAGCCATTTTCAGTGTTTTATCTTCGAATTCAATTTGGTTTTTCGATTAAGTTCAGTTTCTGGCGTAAATTCGTTTGATATGTATCTGAGACATTATGGGACGTGGAATTAAAGTTTGAGGGTGATCGAATAGTGTTTAAATGTTCGATCGATGGAGGTCAAAAATCGAGATAATACATTACTACCTTATGTATGCTTTGTGGAACATGCGAGCATTGGTTGATGCGCATAAAAATAAGTTTGGTTACATGTGTGTAATTAGTAAAATTTTAAACTCAATCTGATTGTGAAATAAAATAAATTAAACTGAATAAGGCTCAGACTACCTGCATAGACACAAGAAGACTGATAAGAATGATTTCAAGTTCAACGATTATCCAGAAAAACAAATAACCTCATATTCTCTAAATTTTATTTATTTAAAAACTTTAATACCGAAACTACCTGATTATGAAATCACTGAATTGCCCTTGAAGTGTAAAATGACTATATTATATGACTAAGTTGAACTTCATGGAAGTACTGTAGGTTTCTAAATTGTGTAAACAACTGAATTACTCTGGAAACTCTGAAGTGACCTAGATAACTTGACTACTAAATGACCTAAGTACCCTCAATGACATAGAATTAAGTGAATGACTTGGATAAGTCTGGAAACGCTGATGAACTTATATATTGTACTGTCCATAAGGGTTTTGAACCACGAATCCATCACATCGACATTTCGTGATACCGTTACAACACATAAATGAAATAAATACTATTGGAATCACTCCTGTCATGTTTGAAATCTCAAATAACTTTGAACGGATATATCTGACAAATTACCAGAAAAGGTACATAGATTTAGATTGAAAAGAATTTACTGAAATGTCATCGATCTGTGAAATATTAAAATGAATCTGATATTTAAATGACTGAAATACCCCTAAACCCCAAAAGAATTAAAATACCTTGAACTTTAAGATGACTGAAGTAACCTCCAGAGTTGAAGTGACCTAAATACCCTAACGGCTAGAAATAAGTGAATGTCTTTGGATAAATTCTAGTAACGCCAACAAACTTATGTTGTATCACTCCTTAAAGGTTATGGAGCATAACTCAAGTGTGTTGAGTATTCTTGATACTGATATATCACAGAAATGTATAATACCATTACATATATGGTCGTCTCCTCTAGTTCCGTTCAGTGTGATTCTGAAAGTGACTAGTTCAACAAGTGTAATTAATATTAAAAAATGATTATTCGTGAAGTATATCAGTTCGGAATATTGACAAGTTTTATAGGGTGGAGATCGGTTCGTACAATTTGACTTGAAATCATCATAATTCAGTATAAATTTGGAATAATGCCATTTTACCCTTATTGGATTAAGTTAATAAGAAGCCATCAGAAATTAAAATGTCTGGAATACTCCTATTTGCCTGAAAAATGGGAATACTCATGTTAGGTCATATTTGATTTTTATACTGAGTATGAACATGTATAATTTAAATTATGTCTGTAATATATGAATGATTTTTTCTAAACTTGTATTTTAATTATAAATTATTTTATGATTGTACACATTTTAATTAAAATGTTAAATTTTCTTGGATTTTTATTGTGGGTACTCTGGTGACCCTAATGTTACACCTTGGATCGGATCGGGTCACTCACATTGGTTTGTGGGTGTTACACCTTTAAATAAATTTTTACATAAAATAATTTTTTAAATGAAAATAAAATTAAAATATTTTTAAATTAAGTTAATAATAAAATATTGTTGATAAGTTAATATAAAAATATTTTTTAAGTTAATATATATATAAAATATTATGAATTTAAGTATTTCTACTCTAAGAATGGAGGATTAAATTAAAATAAAGTTAGTCCTCCAACCGAATGGTGACATGTGACATCATTCAATTGGATGATTAAATTTATTTTAATTTATTAAAAGTAGGACTAAATTGAGAGAATATATAAATAACATGCACCAAATGTGTGACTATATTAAAATATTTAACAATTGTTAACAACAAGTAACTCAGGGTGACCACATCTTAATTATATACAAACGAAAGTGACTATATCTTATGTTTTTTGAAATCAGTGACCAAAAGAGGACAAAACGCAAACATAAGTGATCATTTGTGTAGTTAAGCCTTTTTTTAATCATCAATAACGTACACACACCTGCAAAAGCAACTATTTGAATTTAAAATCTATAGAGAAAACAACATTCCTTTTAACCACTAAACTCACTAAATGGGTTCAAATTAAAATTTACACATCATAATTAAAATTATCTAATATGTATGATGTGTAAATTTTAATTTATATAAGATTATTTATTTTAGAGTTTAAAGATTTTATTTAGGGTTTAAAGACTTAAGACTTATGGGTTATTATTTTAGATTTTAGGGTTTAAGCTTAATTATATATAAGTTGTGTAA